GGAAATTATTCAGCAAGTTTTTTAAAGATTTGAAGGTTTTTAAACACCGAAATTGAGAGAATATTGTCTGATGGCGTCATGCGGCAAATGCTTATTTCAAGACATCAAAGTGTCCACACACAAAAACTTGCAAACATATTGCTCGTCAAAATGACAGTTGGTAGGCCATCGGTGTTTGCCTGTTGAGTTCTGCGGTTAAGGGACATTAGTCTCACATGTACGAAAATGAATTAATAAATACACATACAAATACAAATACAAAATGAGATATGTCATATCAAAGCTAATAAGATTCTCCACAAACCATATATACTACATCACTTTCCGATAGGACTGATAGTTTCTGACAAATTAATTAATCATTCCGGTTTTTTTTTTAGTGAAAAAATTAAAAAATCAAACTTTATGAGAAGAACAATTTTAAAAATAACGGGTTCTGTGCCAAATTTTTGCATTTGTGCTAAAGCCTTTTCTGTTACAATGAAATCAAGTTACTAATGAAGAAAATCGATCGATAAATAAAGAAATAAGTGGTCAAATGAAAATACGCAGATTTTTTATATGAAAAACTAGCGCAAAATAATGTTACAAATATGTCACGTACACCCGAATAACACTCTTTTCTGCTCATTTTTCATATAAAAAATCTTTGCGCATTTTCATTTGACCACTCATTACTTCTTTATTTATCCCTCGCTTTCCTTCATTAGTAACTTGGATTTTTTTGCTACAGAACAGGCTTTAACACAAATGCAAAAATTTGGCACAGATCCTGTTATTTTTTAAATGTGGAACCACTTTTTGTTTTAAGCTGAATAGTGGTAAATTCCAAATATCTCGAAAACGTATCCATAGAAAAAAATTAACTCGATTTTCGGAATCACCGAGCAATGCTACATAGAAATTAGATATTGGCGTTTGGAGAACAAAATCCAAACTAAAATTTGTGATCCCGTGTTATAGGTACGCAGTTTTATAACCCATTAAATTTTAATAGATTAAAGTGCGAATTTTAATAATTTTTTTGGCTGACGGTGTTGGGCATTTTCTCCATACAAAAGAAATTGTCGCGCATAAATGCACAACGCCGTCAGCAAAAACAAAAAAGTTGTTAAAAATCTACGCGATTTTCCAGCGTCTTGAAATTTGCACTTTTAAATTTAATGGGCTATATAACTAAGTACCTACATATTTTCTAATAATTCTGAATTAGGAGTTTGCAGTTTTTGGCGGATATTGGTAGTTTGTTGAATTTTTATAATTCTTGTACAACGTTTGAAATGTGGATTTACAGGGTGCTGGTTTTATAATGTGCTACACTTGTATAAAAAAAAAAAATAATAATAATAAATATAAGAAAAATAGCCAAAGCTGGTTAAAATGTCACCGAACTTAATCAGCTGACCACAAGGGCATATCGAAATGTGGGTTTTCACAAAAATAGACTTAACAACTTTTCACACTAAGCTAGCGATATGTTTCATTTATTATAAATAAATATGAATGGTAGCACAAATGTATCCGCACTCACAATTACTAAATCAGAAATGATCGGCGATGCCAAAGATGCCGCGAAGCTAAATACATTCATATCGTTACTAGACACGAATAAAGAGACGCGCTAGTGTTTTGACGGTGAGAAAGAACGCGTGTAAAAAAAAATACGCGTAATAAAACTTCGGCGAAGAAAGACGCATAAACCTAGTGGATGGAAAAAAAGACGCGTAAACATAGATTTACCTGGTCAAGGGCTGGCCAAGTGTTGTCACTTCAGCATCATTTCCCAAAAGCTCTTTGGGGAATTTACATAGTGTTACACCCGCGAAAATAAGTTGTCGCGTCTTTCTCCGCCGTCAACTATGTTAAGAGTCTCTCTTCGCTGTAGTTTTTTTTTAAGCGTCTTTTTTCGGGGCCAACTTTTGAGTTCGCGTCTTTATTCGAGTGTAGTAGCGATATACCGTTATATGTATATGTATGTAGGTCGCACTGTAAGAGATATACATTTACCCAAGGAATATTGAACAGCTACAAATTGTGTTTCAAAAAAGCGACCACGTGTTGATTTTTTTAACATTCACAATGTTTTTCAAGTAAAATTTTGTTTGTTATTTTTTTATAAAAATATTGTTTAAGCTTTAACCAAAACCATATGTATATGTATGTACATATGTACATTAGGGTGGTCCCTACATGTAGGAAATAACCCAAACGGTAATAACGCAAATTTGTGTTATTTCCCAACCTTTGTTGGAAATAAAGCAAAACTCAGATTTTGGTATTATTCCCGATTTAAATGTGACATAAAGCAAAACTCAGATTTTGGTATTATTCCCGATTTAAATGTGAAATAAAGCAAATTTTGCGTTATTGCCGTTTGTTATTTCACCCCGTGTGTCGCACATGGGGCAAAGTTCACATTCCTCTAAGGAGGCTCAAACAATTAAAATTTTATGGGCTATAAATTAGCATACCCAAAGATATTCTAAAGATTCAGATTAAAAAGTTTGAAATTTGATGAAAATTTGTTAAAATTTTTTAAATTTTGTATAAAATTTGATTTATGTACTATATGGTTTTGGTTAAAAGATGAACGATATTTTTATAGAAAAATAAATATTTGTAAGCACTTGAGTTCCGAAAATTTCACAATGGCCACCAATAAAGGCACCAGTCATCGCGACCGGAATTTTGTAGACTAAATAGAATATTGTGTTTTATTCGAAAGAAAATGATTAATTTAATAGCTCCGACGCATTTAATAATTATATTTGATAGATTTGAGGAAGATGTTTATTGAGTCTACGCCGCGGCTGAGAGGGGAGTATGACAGTTTGAGATATAAAAAAAAAAATTATTTATCAGATTGATTTTTTTTTATACACTAGCAAAATAATGCTCCGATCTGTACCAAGGAACTGTAAAAACGAAGATATGTAGGTAAGCTAAATCATCACACAATAGGGAGGAAAAAATATCACAGCTCAACAGCCGAGCACGTAAACTTTATTTTGTATTTATCATTCGACATTCTTTGTGGGTAGCTTGATTTTTGTGTAAAAGAACAAATGGCAAACGATTTTCTATTTATATTTTTTCCCTGTTAAAGCTTGAATATTTTCATTCACAATGCAAACTTAAAATGAAAATACCCTGGGAAAATTATCTAGAAACAGAGTATACAGATCCGTGATCTACGACCAAAAATAAATTTCACGTGTTTCGGTGTTTTTTTTTTGTTATTTCAAAACTTTTAATTTTCCTTACAGTGTCATTTTTTGATTGTTCAGCTAGTCAAAAATATTCTTACCGTTTCTTCGAAGAATATAATTTCATCACGATTTAAAAAACTTTACTTTTATTATTTTTTCGGAAATTTCATGAAGTCTTCATGTTTTATTTTTAGGGTATAACCCCAGATTTTCTCGGTACTTTTCCGGATTTTTTTGAAACTTTCAGGTCAAAAACAAAATGCTCCGTGGTTTTTCTACTCATACCTTCATTTTACACTTTTTACTACAATATTTATACTCGGTACAGTTACTGGTGGTGCGTTGAAAGCGGCATGGAATTAGATATACCTCAATTCTTTATTAATCCTGTGCGGTAATTTTTCTAGTATGCCATATATTGGAATTGGCGAGATATACAGGGTGTCCCCCTCTAAAATGGAGGGAAATGTTTTTTTTTTTTTATCGAAACCCGCAAAAACTTAACCTACTAAATCGGGGATGCTCTATCTTTTGGCGGTTTTACATTACATATCCCTACTTAATTGCCTTCTTTTATAGGTAAGAAGAAAAGAATTTTCAACAATTTTCTTTTTGTAGCTTTATTGGTTTATACAGTCGTATACATTCGTATGTCCATTTATTTAAATAAAAAAGAATTATAACACACTAGTTTGTTCTCACCCGCTTCGCTGGGAGTATGAAATTTCCGCGTGTTACCTTAGGTGTAATTTAACTTGTTGAAACTTGACTTGACTTGTTGAAACTCAGCAAAAAATAAGAGTTTTGAATATTTTTCTATCATTATATATGTATATTTTTTCTTATCCCCCTTAAAATATTTTCAAACTAACATCTTAAACCCTCTTCTTTAAACCTTCAAAATATTTTCAAACTTCAACATTCTTAGATCTCTTTCTTTATCTTAACAGCGGGATTCTATCACACATATTTCCAGAGGTATGCAGGATGAAAAATTTAGTTAGTATGGGAGGTGCCACGCCCTCGTGTCTATTCGAGATTAAGGCTATGCTATATTTTATGTTGGGATAAATGACAAAAATGTACAAAATTTCGTGATGATCGGCTGAGTAGTAAAGCGTGAAAGCGTAACAAACAAACAAACTCACTTTCGAATTTATAATATTAGTAAGGATTTCAAGGCGTCCTTCTTCATCCGCTACTGTATAATGAATTCAATGTCCCGATTTTTCTGTTTTTATTTTTTGATTTGTCTTTCAGCCTGTTAACGTGCGCTTTTTAATCTGCGTACATACATACATATTTACTTATGTATACATTTTATGACCTCTCTTTTCCAAATGAAGGCTTCCTCTTTAACAAATGAATGAAATTATGGTGTGGGTCAATGCATATTATGCACGGTCAAAGTTTTAAACCAAATTATTTATTCACATAAATTTAAATATTCGCAATGTTTTAAAGTTTAATTTCTATTTTTTTTCTATAAAACATTGATTGGGCCAAAAATGTTCTACAAATTTAAATTATACATAAAGCTCAAATTTTGATGGGAATTTGTCGAATTTTCCAAAATTTTATATAAAGTTTGAAACTTTGATTTATTTGGTTTTGGTTAAAGCTTGGGCAATGTTTTTATAGAAAAGTAACAAAAAAACTTACCCTTGAAAAACACTGAATATTAAAAAAAATCAACACATGAAATCTTGTTTCGAGTCACTGCACAAGCCGAAAGCGGTGTTTGATTTTCCTTATCTTAATGAAATTACGGTAAATAAAAAGTAAGCGAAGTTAAAATCGTTTTTTTGTCGTTTCATTTAATGGCAAGCGGGTACAGGCATTATTTATTATACATTTGGCAAATTCTGGCTAGGCTTTGGAACCTGTTCCGGAATTTTTAAGTTATATGTAAGTACATTTTATAAGCTATTAACTAGTTAACATTACAAATTTTCTCGGCTGCGTTACGATTAACCAATATCATAACATTTAAGCATGCATAACAGTCAATTACAAACAAGAAAAATATAAATCATTCCATGAATACAATTTCATTAAGTGTACAATAAACATATTAACCTATTTCATTCAATATTCAATTAGATATAATAGATATATATTTGCTATCCAAAAACGGGCCATCTATGCAACAATATATGTATATATAATAGTATGTATTGATAAATAAATTAACGTATGTATATTTAGATAAACTGGTAAAGGCGTAGCGATTATTGTATGGTGTAGAAGAATTCTTCCTTCTATACGAGATTAGTTTTGTATAATAAGTTACAATCATTTAGAGTCAATTATTAATCGTCATTTAATAAAAGTNGCGTAGCGATTATTGTATGGTGTAGAAGAATTCTTCCTTCTATACGAGATAGTTTTGTATATTAAGTTACAATCATTTAGAGTCAATTATTAATCGTCATTTAATAAAAGTAATTAGATGTTGATAGTTTATTGTTGTAGAGTTGAAGTTAAAGTGAGTTGAAATTTGAAGTAGTAGTTGGATTTTTGGCAAGCAGAATTAGAAAAGGAAAATGTTTATAGAAAGAAAGAACTTGCTGAAGAATGGAAATATAACATAGAGTATGGAAATGTGCAGGACAGGAACAATTTTGTCGTTGTTTTGTATCAAATAAAATTTTAAATATGAAGTTTTACAAAAGGACACGTATAGAAGAGAAATAAGGATAAAAACGAATGGGAACTGAGATGGTAAAGTGAAAAATATTGATACTGTTTCAAATATAATAGGAAGAATTAATGCAAAAATATACATTATGGCTATTATTTAGTTTGAAAATTGTTATGCCCTCACTTCTACTGAATGACTAACTTCATTCTTTCTTATAATTTTTGCTATTCATGTTTTTACAAATCATATGCTTCAGGTGTACTGACCTCTTGGAGCAGATCCTGGGAGGCAATCGCTTTGAGCACATTCTTCTTCGATGTCTCCTGTATTTCGCCGCCAATTAACAACTCGTCTAAGATGAAGTAGGCCTTTTCAAAATTAAAAATTATGTCCAATTCACAAACCTACATTTGAAAGAAGAAACACAGACATTTTAGCTAACGCAAACAATTTAAAACCAACTTCAATCGTCACCATGAATAATGCTGGTTAGTTTTGGTGAAAATAATTTTAGAATAATTGATTTTATCGCAACTGGCTGTTCGCCGTCTGGCACCTCATACCCAGTAAGCACCAAATGCAATACCAAAATATTAAAAAAAAATTAACAATACTGTAAAAAATTTACTTTTCTCAAAGCTTTTCAACCATTTTCTAATAGAATTACAAGTCCGAGCTTACCACTTTTTACCAGAATTTACTTTAAATTGAACATATACTCACTGTGAGTAAATTTTTACCTCAGTCCTCAGAGCAGGAACGTTTCTGTCCATTCGAACGACATGGCCAAGCCAGCGGAGCCGCTAAATTTTAATCCGCTGCACTATGTCTATATCGTTGTAACGCTCATACAGCTCATCGTTAAATCGTCTGCGATATTCGCCATCACCAACGCATAAAGGTCCGTAAATCTTTCGCAGAATCTTTCCCTCAAAAATTCCAAGAGCCGCCTCATCAGACGCTTCCATTGTCCATGCCACCGCGCCATACACCAGCACAGGCATGATGAGTGACTTTATAGAGTGTGATCTTTGTTCGACGAGAGAGGACTTTACTT